GAGTTCCTCCGCCAATCTGTGGCCAATTTGCTGTGCTGTTTTCTCGGGCGCATCCACTAACCAGTCGGAGTTATATGAAAAGGAAACGATTCTTGCGGTTGGAAAGGCCTCTGGGAGCAAATGTTGGAGGAGGTGAACCTTAGTCTGGTCTTTTTTGCCCTCCCAAGTGTGATCGGGATGTGCACCCAGGCCGTGGACAGCGACAATTCTGTGAAGAGAGTCAGTTGAGAACTATTTCTGATAAGCAAGACTTCTCACTCGAATTGAGGTTTGTCTGGATTGTAGATATTATCTAGGCCGTCTGCGCGTGAATTTCGCCGACTAGGCTGAAGCCTGACGATAAAGGGGTATGCTGTAAGTAGCAGAGCAACAGTTGTAGCTGTCCCAAGAGCCCATAGCGAAGAGTTGCGACACGTAAAAGAATTCATTATAGCGGGTCGTTAGACAATGCCCAAGAGAAAGCTTTGCGGTGTTTAGACAGGTCATGCGATGTAGAAGAAGACATCCAGGTCAGCCTGACGAACTTGGGAGTGTCCTAGGAGGCAGTATTGGTTGTTTGTGCGTTATTGCTGCTGTGTGCGCGTTAGTGCCTAGCATCAAATTGAGCCGGCTTGTCTCCTCTGGACCTCATGAGGGGGTGTAAGCCTGACACGTCAGCCAGGATGGTACACAGCATTGTATTGAGAAGCCAGGATTGAAGTAGACCATTCGCCATTAAGATGGCTACGTCTTGTGTGCCAAGGGCGCCTATCTAACCCACGGGCAGGATTAATCAGCATGGTCCCCAGGCGCTCGGGTACGAGGAAGACACCCACGCGGTCCGTACCTAGCCCCCGTTTAGACCCCTCACTAGCAGCCACGCCGTATTTTAGAACGGAGGATAGACCACTCGCAACACCCGCCTTCGTCGCGATGCGGACTCGTAAGCAGCCCAGAGGCTTACTGGTAGAATAATTTGGGGCTGATTGCAGCGCCTAATGGAGTATGCGAAGCGGGCTAGGGCCCATGGTGGGGCTGATGATGGCCTTGCCATCACCCTTTGCATGGCAACGACGGAATGGGGGGCAAGAAAGAAAAGAAAAGATAGACCCTTGACCGGCCTCACTTCAACCCTGATTACGACAGACAGCACTCAACCAACCCCATGGTTTTCTGCTTCTGTGGCCAATTATCTATGCAATGCGGCTTATGCCCCAGCATCGTGCAGGTCGCAAGAAGCACATATACGTCGTGGCACAGTGATAGTGATGCATACCTACGAATGAAGGGCAGCCTTTGACGAGGACGGTATTCCCATTTCGGTCTAGGTACAGCGACGTGACGCATAAGCAAGCCTCATAGACCTAGACTGTTGTACAAGACTTTCTTATTACCGCGTCACCTAGCGAGCCGTATTAACCCCTCACCGGTTGAGGCCACCCAGCCGCTGATGATGTCGAGGCCAGGTTTACCGACCCTGAATTCGCTTTAATCTTTCCCTACTGTAGTGTCGTGTTGCAACCCAATTGCCAATAAACAGGTAGCAGAACACCACAACGACTAGAACGGCAGCGGCCAGCGGCCCTACTATGGAGAAGACGGTGAAGCCGTACGAGGCCGACTGGAATGCTTCATTGCCCTGGAGGGCCTCCGTGGCAAGACCGACCTGCATCGCCGTCAGGACGACAGCAATATAGACGGTCGAGCTGGCTAGTAGCGCAAAGTTGTCGTGAAAGAACGAGCCATACTGGTTCCAGCGAGACGTGTAGCCGCCGAGCGGCTTCCGCCAGAAAAAGTAGATCTTGTTAAGCCGGCTGAGGCGGAGCTCTCCATAGTGGAAACGTGGGTCGATACGGGAGTAGATGGAAGGACCGTCCAACAGCTGTCCAATGGCAACCCTCCACGCCGGCCACTGCACCTCTTCAGGGATGAGGTGCATCTCCTTCGCAATATGGAAGTCGCTCTCATGCATCATGAGCGCTGCATACGAGAAGAGAAAACCCAGTGCACGCTCGTATACTATGCTCGTGAGAGGCACCTCGTGAGAACACAGGTATTTTTCCCAAAAGCGCTGTTCAAGGAGATAACGTGGCAGAGGCTTGATAAAGATGCGTCCGTTCGTCCACACGAGATGCATATCCAGCTTCTCCGTAATTATAACCTCTCGGTTAAGGAGGCGCTGGTAGTGAAGCGAACGCGGTGGCATGGGCCGACCTACGATCCATAGCCAGTCGAAGATATCTTTTAATCGGTCGATATTAAGCTCCTCGTTCACCCATTCCAGAATTTCGGTCGGCTGGTAGGTCGCGGCGGGGTATTCCAGATCGTCATCCTCCGTCCGTCTTAACGCTGGGAGGAGCGATAGGAGGTCGGTTTCTGGGCTATCGTCTGTGAGGAGCCGTCCCGTAAAGGGAGCGCACTATAGACGTCAATTAGCATATAAATCCAAGCGACCAGGAGAACTTACTCGACTTGTTTGAGCCATTACCTCGACGTTAGCCTGTTTAATGGGGATCACATTCGACATTGGACAACCTTATTCTGCCAGCCGTTGTTATATACTCCATAGGCGTACTTCCATGCCTGACCGCAGACCGGCATTGTTATAAATCTGCTGCATCACGCACTCGAAAGTGGGCTCAGAGACCTAAGACAATTCATGCTGGCCCTAAATCTCGATATTGCAGGTTGGACGCAGCGGCATTAGCTCGAGACTCTGAGATTGATGCTGTGCCACCGTAATCGTCAGGTTATCTAACACCCCCTCTTTGCTGATGATCAGGCGGAGCAGTGTTCGGCCAAGGCCCTCGGGAAGGTGATGACTGGTGGGCTTCAGCAAGGGGCTGGCCGTACCCATGCATGGGTGTTCGTAATCATAGCCTGTAGTCTTCGCATACGAACAACTTCCAGCCATTGTGGATCGCCTAGGCGCCTGTACCACACTGCATAGAATAGTGACTGTCTGCCTAAATCATGTCCTACTGACATTGACAACCCGATCAGCGCGAGACACTGCCTTTGTTCAGATGTTCCTACTTTTTCGCCGCCCTATGACGCAGCTCGCTGTTCATGTTTTCTAGTTTATATCTTTGTTCCCTAGTAAATAGGTATTTACCCTGATATTTTCTTCACCTGCCATCATTGGGAACGCAGTACTCCAGCCTTATAGCTAATACGACCCGCCCAGCTTGCCAACTATCGATCCCCTCGATATCTAGACGGGCTACTCGGGGAAAGCCATGACACCAAATCGCGAATCTGACCCCTATGATTCCGTGGTAATAGTGTCAGCTGGTTTGATCATTCTTCTCCTTCTCCTAGCTGGAGTTGTAAGCGCCGTATTCCTCGGGCCTTATGGGCCCGCGCATGCTCCTCTTCCCCCTCCTCCTTCTCCAACAACAACAACAACAACAACAACAACGACGACGACACTGCCGGCGGAAACCAAGGCAAAACAGCGCGGCGTCCAGCTGCGCCAGGTCGACCCACCTGCCGACGAAAATGGCGAGCCAGAGGGAGGCATCGACATCATTGCCGTACACGGCCTCGATACCAGATCGCCGGATACCTGGGAATTCAAGATGAAGGACGGGTACAATGTGAACTGGCTACAAGACAAAAATATGTTACCGACGGAAGTCTCCAACGCTCGTATCTTCACTTATGACTGGCCGGCTGAGTTATTTGAGACGCTAGACGCAGAAGAAGACACAATTCAAGAACTTGCTCTACGGCTACTTGCCGGTATCCAAGCACGACCATCCGCGACAAACAACCAGCGTAGTTACAAGGACCGACCAATTCTGTTTGTCGCTTCATGTCTCGGGGGCATTATCCTAGCGAAGGCCCTCGTCATGGCTAAGAATGAGTACCTACCTGTTCGAAACGCAACGCGCTGGATCCTATTTCTCGCCACGCCCTTCCGAGGCACATCATTCGAGGACGTGGCCAGATGGGCAGAGCCAGGCCTAAGGACCTGGGCTTCGATTCGAGGCCGTCGCGTGGCCAGCCTACTAGGTTGGGCGAAGTCATCAACATTCGACCTCACTCTCCTCGTTAATGAATTCACTCAGCTCTGTGACAACAAGAATGGCGAGGGCTACAAGGTGCTTACTTTCTACGAGACGGGCTTTAAAAACCTCCCGGCCAAGGTCCCTCTGCTGTCCTATTTACTGTCACGTTCAAAGAAACAGGTAGGATATCTATAGCACATGCGTGCTTGCTAACAGCTGTCAGTTGGTTAGCAAGAGTTCAGCAGTTCTTGACTGCGTCCCAAATCCACTTCCACTAAGACGAACCCATATTCTCATGAATAAGTTCCGCGGCCCTAAAGCCGACGACCCGGACTACAAACTGGTCGTGGACAAAATCCTAGCCTTCCTTGAAGACATTCGCAAGGGGACGCCGCTTGAGCAAGCAAATGCATGGATACGCGAGAAGCACTATAATAAGGAGAGGCTGAAGATTGAACGACTTTCCGGCGATCCTTTGCCGATGGACCAATGCTATATCAACCTAGCACTGATAGAGACGCTACAAGAGAACAATTTGAAGCAGAAGTCTGTAGACCAGCCACTGCAGCCTTCACCATTCTCCCTTACTTCTCGGCTAATGGTCGAAACACCACACAAGGATTCTCAGATAGAGCTACAAAAGCTCTTTGAGCCGCGCAGGCAACCCGACGGCCAGATGAAAGAGGTAAGGCGAATACTGATTCGAGGTCGTGCCGGCATCGGGAAAACTACTTTATGCAAGAAGATCGTACACGACTTTGTTGAGAAAGGGATGTGGCAATATCGATTTGCTAGAGTACTTTGGGTGCCGCTACGAAATCTCAAAACGTGGCATGGTCCAAAGTACGGTACGACGGAGATGCTTCGTCATATCTATCTACAGCAACGTCCAGACGACGAGTCTCTTGCCCGCGCCTTACAACAGCATATGGAGGATTCCATGTCCCGCGGCAACCTTTTCATCCTCGACGGTCTTGATGAAGTCTCGGAGCTTTTAGACGAGCAACACAACCCCGACATGTTTAGGTTCCTTGTAGAACTGCTGAACAGGACGAACGTTATCATTACGACCCGACCGCACGTTTCGCTTCCGCATGATTTTCAGAAGCCCGACCTCGAGCTCGAGACAATCGGCTTCCGCTCCGACCAGGTAGAAGCTTATCTCAAAGCAGTTTCGACGCCGATCGTGTCCCGAAATATCCAATCATTCCTCCAGAAAAGCCCGCTAATGCGAAGCCTCGTGCGGATCCCAATTCAGTTGGACGCACTCTGTATTGTTTGGGACGAGACTTTAGATATCGACAGATTGAAAACGATGACCCAAGTCTATCAAGCTATTGTTGAGCGGCTTTGGAGGAAGGATATCAAAAGATTGAGGGAATCGCAGCCACATGTCAAAGCCATGTCGTCACGAGAGATTGAACACCATGTCATGGAAGAGATTCAACTACTCGAGTCCCTTGCTTTTAGCGGTATGTGCAGTAATCTAATTGAGTTTCAGTCAGTACACCGCGACGCTGTATGCGACTTTATTCGACCTGCGCAAACTAGCTTGCCGGTCTACGAGACTCTGGGGCGACTCTCATTCCTACGGACGTCAGATGGCGCAGCAGACCCAGCTACCCGAAGCCATCATTTTCTACACCTAACATTCCAAGAGTACTTTGCTGCTAAGTATTTTGTACGAATGTGGACGAACAAGACGCTCCGATATTTCGACTTAAATCGCCGAAGGAAAGGCTATTGCGAAGTCTCTCCTAACGTTTTTCTCGGAGAAAACAAGTACACTGGACGGTACGATATCATGTGGCGGTTCGTTGCTGGGCTGCTGGATGAAGAGAAGAAGGCAAATGATTTCTTTGAGGAAATAGAGAAAAAGCCGATCGACCTTCTAGGGCCTACCCACCAGCGGCTGGTCATGCACTGTTTGAGCGAAACAGTTTATTTGATATCTAAGGTTCGAAGGCATAAAGAGGACCAGCTATCAAAATGGGTTCTATTTGAAAGGGACTTCACAGGATCATCAAGATTCCCAAGAGAATCAGAGATTCCTGATCAGGTATTAAACCGTGTCTTGGGTGCTTCTGGAGACAAAGTCATCTTCTTGAAGACTTTGGAGCATTCTCAGAGGCACTTATCAGACACAACCACGGCCGCGCTTGTCAAACTCTTCACGGAAAAGGACAGCAACGTACGATCTTCCGCCGCTGAAGCGCTAGGCAAGCAGTCGACGTTATCAGACACAACCACGGCCGCCCTTGTGGGCCTCTTCAAGGACGAGAAAAGAAATGTACGAAGATCCGCCGCTGAAGCCCTAGGCAACCAGTCGACGTTATCAGAAACAACCATGGCCGCCATTGTCGGACTCCTCAAGGACGAGGACTGGAATGTACGATATTCCGCCTCTATCACCGTAGGCAACCAGTCGACGTTATCAGACACGACCATGGCTGCCTTTGTGGAACTCTTCAAGGACGAGGACAGCGATGTACAAAGATCCGCCGCTGAAGCCCTGAGCAAGCAGTCGACGTTATCAGACAAGATATTGGATACGTTAGGGATATGTGTTCAGCCGGAGGAACAAACCCTCTATTGCTCTGAAAATTTGGTGTCTTTCTATGAAAGCTTTCTACAGCGCAGCTTCCAAGAGCATTTTAGTCTTTCTGTTGATGGAGATATTTGCGTCATCAACCAAGCGTCTGGAATCAGAAAAGCGAAATTAAAAGATAAAAGTCGATTTCAAGTGGAAATCAGGAGGGCGCGATGCCAGTTAGAGAAGACCTACAGCTCAGGTCTCTGGTCTGCTCTTAGCAGGCAGAATGAAGACACGATCCACCATGGATAATCTCCTAATGAGATAACTACACGACCGGCCATCGGGCCGACACATATCAAACATAGAAAGAAAACATTGGAAGTAATTAGAACAGGCGTTCACTAATTTCTCGACGTGTGTCACGTACGACAACAAGGACGAGGGCAATGGAGATACCATCTAATCAAGCGCCTAGCTTCCCCGCAGACTGTCATGATAGAGCTGGGATCCCACATAGCTCATAGGGAGATCTTGGTGATGATGATAGTAATAGAAGTGCGACTGAGACTGATGATGATAGTGACTTTGAATACGTGCTCAGTGAAGGCTGGGAGGGTTTGGAGGACTGTGACGATGAGAATACGAATGTCAGCAACCATATAGATGCCACAGAGAACAGCTCAACAACTGACGCAGCAGCTAGCCCCCCATTGTCTTCAGGTTAGTCTGGTACTGGCGCTACTCCTGCTCTTTATCTAATACGTATCTATAGGTCGGAGTCTGGCGGGGGATTATGTCTCAGCCGCTCTTGAGGACCTCACGCTGCGCCTGCTGTACTTCCTCATGACGGAGTTCGAGGATGGCCAGTCCAAGTCAACTCTCCTGCTCTACTTCAGCGGAGTCCTTGGCCTCACGTCCGACGGGTCCGGGTCCCGACGCCCCGGGAACTACACGGCAAACCTGTCAGCTTTCATCTACTGCGACCGCTTGGTTGTCATCGAGGTGTTGCTCCCCCGGACCAGCCACGGCTACGTCGGGTACCCGGCGAGGCCACGCAGGCGGCAAGCAAACGGACAGAACGCCTGCTTGCGACTCAACGGGCTTGCCAGTGTTTGGACCTATAGGGAGTTCTTATGTCGATTAGGATTCATAGATCAGACTGATACGTAACAATTGGCCAGGCTTACCGAAGCACCTGGGATGTTGCTGGATAGTTTCGTCAAGAAACCGTACTTTTACGCGCCGTTTGCGTCCCGACTACGGCTGTCCCACCGCTCCGCATGCCGACATCCACAAACCACGGACGTGATAGACCTGCTCTCTGAGGCGCAGCCCTGGTGGTTGGAGGGTAGGTTGTCGCATACTCAGGCTGGCGTCTTGCTGGTCGATGCAGCGCGTATTCCTGGCGTATCCGAGGAGCCCATATTTGACGCCCCTGCCAGTTGTCAACCCGCAAGGCGTGTCGCCGCCGCACCGCGACCGGCGCCTATATTGATAAGGGATCCCCACGCTGTCCGTAGAGCGCCCTGGGGAAGAAGTGCCCTCGGTTCGTCCGCCCTCTGCTCGAAAGAGGCTCGGGATCTCCCTACCTGCCCGTCCCGAAATGCACACCTGACTGGTGAGCGCTGCCGAAGCGTTCAGCTAATGGGACCTGGAAACGCCCATGCCAGCGGTCCTACTGCTATAAGGTCCGGTTTCTAAACGCCCTGCCAGTCGCAATGATCCCCACCAGCCCGGTTACCGGTAAGCCCACGGGACGTTGAGAGCCTAAGAGGACTGGAGAGTAACCTGGTGGGGGCTGGGCGTCATTTACTGGTGCCCGCCCTGGGAGCAACGGTCTCTTAGCAGTAACTCGCTAGAGCTTGCCATTCACAGCCTGCAACTAATGGTATCTCTGTGGCCGTTACCAGCAGTTTGGCCGATGTAGGCCGTTACACATACCTGCCTTTGCTCCCTACAACATCATATCAGACGAGTCTACGCTCGACTGAATGGTATCTCATCCAAGCTTCTTAGAGGTTCACTTGCGCAACCATACTTTATTATATTCGAGTGAGATAAGCGCTGCCCCTATGAGCAAGTTCCATCTCGTAGATGAAGGATTCCATGTCTTGGCCTATTAGATGTATGCCGTCGTAAGGAACTGTCAAAAGGTGGGGAGGTGATTGCCTTAGACAATTTTGTGCAGGTATTTATTCTATATTCCGGGATTACTTAGCCCGACAGCCTGTTGCCTAAAATTCGCCTCGCATCGTGTTGCGTCGCAGTGGTCTACTTGATGTCCCTTCTCTTTGCCCACCTCAACTATATAACGGACGTATCTAATGTCCATTCAGACGAAGACGTCTTTTGTAAATACTGTACATCCTTAGTAGAGCTGTTGTTGCCGGAGCGGTGCGGGGACGTAGACATCACGCGAGCTCAGACGGTGGCTGAGAAGGACGCTTATTGGGCCACGATACGACCAACTTGGGATTCACCGTTTGACCCTCTGAAGATCGCCCACCATCCGAGCTTTTGACCTTGACACGGGCCGAACCGGGATGCTCTGTAATGGAGCCATCGTCCCAAGCCCCTTACCAGCCGTTGAGAACTCTTTCATCTGGACAGTGCCATTCGTGCCACAGCCTTATCGATGAAAGGAAAGTAATGGACAAAGTGGAAAAAGAAGGAAAGGGTGGCCAAATAACGATTTCAGCTGCACCGTCTTACGCTGTGGCGTTTATAGTGCTTACAGGAAGAGGGCCAATTGTCACACGGCTCTAGGCAGTCTCGGCTGTACTTCGAATGTGTGGATGCTTCTTCTCCCTCCTACCAAAAATCGAGTGCAGAATCAGAACGTGTACACAGGCGACGGACGGACCACGGCGAGTGCAAAGCCACTGCTTACGACACGGCCCGCCCTGGTCACTGTGTGCATCTGATAAGGTGGGCCTCTCGATCCACCAATCGTGCATCCTCCTGCTCAACTCAAGATCCGAACAGCTCGTGGAACCCATTTCACGTTGGCGCGATGCTACCCATTTGACCACCCTGAATGCCTCATCTGCAGGCAGATCTGCAGGCAGACCTGCGGGCAGACACCCTTCTCCGCCTGGTGGCCGAAGTCCAACTCATACAGGGTTCTCTTAAGACGCACGTATGCGCATGCCCAGGAAACAAATCTGTCTGCAATCATCACAGTCATGGAACCCGTGGGACTTGCCGTTGGGATCACGGGGCTCGCAGGTCTCTTCAGCACGTGTCTGGAGATCGTCGAGAAGGTGGATTCCTACAGGGATTTCAAGCACGACTCACACTCGCTGAATGTCCAGTTTCAGGCCGAAAAACGCCGTTTTGAACAATGGGGCTCTGCCATCGGCATCAACAATGGCACATTATCGGGCGCCCACCACCCCGCCCTCAACGATCCACAAACGTCGTCGACGGCGACAGAACTCTTGTCGCTCATCCAAAAGATATACACGGACGCCGACAGCGCCGCTGCTCAACTCTCACTGCCGAGCAATGCTAATTCTGCCAAAGACAAGTCTTCCACAGCCGATCATGTGCAACATCGCTGGGGTGCCCAGCCGATTTCAGCGAGGCGAAAGATCGCTTGGTCCCTGAGGGGCAAGGTGCGACGCATTGCTCAGGTCGAACAGTTCGGTGTCCTGGTGCAGCACCTACATAACATCGTTCCTCCCGATGGTGTGAAAAGTACATACGCTGCACATGGAGTATCAACAAAGGGCCAAAGCCTCGGGCGTCTGCAAGGTTTGCGTGCCAGCACATCCCCTGGCTGTACTCGCCGTACTCATCTAAGTTTGATCCTTAGACGATCCCATCCATGAAAGCGCCTGGCTTCCTGGGCTGCGGCAGATTGTAGCCAAGTTGGACGAGGAAATGGCAGGTAAGGCTATCCTGCTAACCACTATCCACGCTAACGGATGCAGCCGAAACGCGACGGGACCTGCGCTCCTGGTTGGGCCGCCACTCTCCCAACGACCGGTACATCGAGTCCGTCCAGAAACGGCTCAGTGGTACCTGCGACTGGATCCTGGGCCGGCCAGCCTTTCGAGAGTGGCTGTCTCTCGATCGTGCGCCAAGCTCCGCGAACGTGCTCTGGATCAATGGTCGCGCTGGGCTCGGGAAGACCATACTTTGCGCTAGAGTGGTTGAACACCTTCTCGAGACGCTTGACACCCCAGTCGCCCATTTTTTTTTGTCGTCCGATTTTGAGACGCGCAACGACCCTTATGCGGCGATCCAATCGTGGATAGACCAGGTGATGACGCGCGACGACGGCGCGTTGGACTTGGTTCGCAAAAGGTGGCTGGCCCAAAATGAACATGTCGCAACGCGAGCGACCACCATTCAAGTGTTCCAGGACATCGCACAAGCTGTACCGAGTTGCACCTTCATTCTGGACGGACTGGACGAGTGCGCGTGGATGGGAGGTGGCCAAAATAGGAGCGACTCTGTGCCTGGGTTCCTCGAAACCATCACGCGAGTGGTGACAGGCAGCACCGCCCGAGTCATGGTCGTCAGTCGCAACGAGCCAGAAATCCGGGATGTTATCGGTGACGCAAGAACCTGCCTACAACTCGAGATTTCAACAGAAGATGTACTATCCGACACCGTACAGTATTCTAGAAGCATTGTGGATAGGAGGCTTCACAAAAAGGACGAAGCTACGAAGGACGATATCGCCCAGAGGATGGCAGACCGTTCCAATGGCCAGTTTCTCTGGCTCAAGCTACACGAAGACTCCTTGCGCAGCTGGAAGAACAAGAAGCAACTCGAAATTGCTATTGACAAAACGCCTCCCGGGCTTGAACACGCTTACGAACGAAACTGGTCCAGGATATCACGACTGCCTGAGTGGGAGAGAACTCGCGCATTTTCACTGCTTCGCTGGGCCGCGTTCGCGCTGAGACCCCTGACAGCTGCCGAGATCACCGTGGCCGTTCTGGTTAATGATGCAGACGATGAATTCCCTACAGAAGAGCTGCCCGATCGCGTGGATGATGACTATATCGACAGTGAGATTTTGCGCCCTTGTGGATCTTTATTGGAGGTCCGCAGCACGTCGACAGAAGCTCATGCCGGATCACGGACCATACATCTGACTCACTTCACTGTCAAAGAATACTTACTCATCAATCTCGCTGCTCAAGCAGCGCCTCTAGCGGCGAACGAACATCTGCAGGCCTCGTTCATAGCGCTTCAAAGCACCGAACTCGCGAGGGTCTGTCTTTGTTATGTGAATCACTGGCACGTGTGGGACAACTCCTTGTCAGAAGACGGCCGTGTGCAGAAATCGTTTCGAGAATATGCGGCGCGCTCGTGGTATCAGCACGCTGCTGTGGGCAAGACTCACAGCCATGTCTTGACAAATATGATGCTCGAGTTCTTTGATACCAAGAACCCGTCTTGGAAAAGGTGGAGAGAATGGTTCGAGTTGAATGACGATACACCTGGGGAAACCGAGGAAACAGATGATATGCCGGCTAGCCCTTTATACTATGCTGCAGCGCTTGACTTCGTTGAGATTGCCAGGAGTCTCATAACGAATTACAACCATAAGGTTGACGAAAAGGGTAAATCGGGCAGGACCGCATTGTACATCGCCTGCAAAAAAGGTAATATTGGTCTGGTGCAGATGCTTCTTGAGAAGGGGGCCGAAGTCACGGTTGCAGACAACGACGGATGGACACCACTCAACTCAGCCTCAGATAGTGGCCATGTCGATGTAGTCAAGTTGCTTCTTGAGAAGGGGGCCGACGTCACGGTTGCAGACAACGACGGATGGACACCACTCAACTCAGCCTCAGACAGCGGCCATGTCGATGTAGTCAAGTTGCTTCTTGAGAAGGGGGCCGATGTCACGGTTGCAGACAACGACGGATGGACACCACTCAACTCAGCCTCAGACAGTGGCCATGTGGATGTGGTCAAGTCGCTTCTTGAGAAGGGGGCCGATGCCATGGTTGCGAACAATAATGGATGGACACCACTCAACTCAGCCTCAGATAGTGGCCATGTCGATGTGATCAAGTCGCTTCTCGAGAAGGGGGCCGATGTCACGGTTGCGAACAATAATGGAGTGACACCACTCAACTCAGCCTCAGACAGTGGCCATGTCGATGTAGTCAAGTTGCTTCTTGAGAAGGGGGCCGACGTCACGGTTGCAGACAACGACGGATGGACACCACTCAACTCAGCCTCAGACAGTGGCCATGTCGATGTGGTCAAGTCGCTTCTCGAGAAGGGGGCCGACGTCACGGTTGCGAGTAATGCTGGATGGACACCGCTCAACTCAGCCTCAGACAGTGGCCATGTCGATGTGGTCAAGTCGCTTCTCGAGAAGGGGGCCGACGTCACGGTTGCGAGTAATGCTGGATGGACACCGCTCAACTCAGCCTCAGACAGTGGCCATGTCGATGTGGTCAAGTTGCTTCTTGAGAAGGGGGCCGATGTCACGGTTGCGAACAATCACGGGTGGACACCACTCAACTCAGCCTCAGGTAGTGGCCATGTCGATGTGGTCAAGTTGCTTCTTGAGAAGGGGGCCGACGTCACGGTTGCAGACAACGACGGATGGACACCGCTCAACTCATCCTCAGACAGTGGCCATGTCGATGTGGTCAAGTCGCTTCTTGAGAAGGGGGCCGATGTCACGGTTGCGAGTAATGCTGGATGGACACCGCTCAACTTGGCCTCAGATAGTGGCCATGTCGATGTAGTCAAGTTGCTTCTTGAGAAGGGGGCCGATGTCACGGTTGCGAGTAATGCTGGATGGACACCGCTCAACTTGGCCTCAGGCAGTGGCCATGTCGATGTGGTCAAGTTGCTTCTTGAGAAGGGGGCCGATGTCACGGTTGCGAGTAATGCTGGATGGACACCGCTCAACTTGGCCTCAGGCAGTGGCCATGTCGATGTGGTCAAGTTGCTTCTTGAGAAGGGGGCCGATGTCACGGTTGCGAACAATCACGGGTGGACACCACTCAACTTGGCCTCAGGCAGTGGCCATGTCGATGTGGTCAAGTTGCTTCTTGAGAAGGGGGCCGACGTCACGGTTGCAGACAACGACGGATGGACACCGCTCAACTCATCCTCAGACAGTGGCCATGTGGATGTGGTCAAGTCGCTTCTTGAGAAGGGGGCCGATGCCATGGTTGCGAACAATAATGGATGGACACCACTCAACTCAGCCTCAGATAGTGGCCATGTCGATGTGATCAAGTCGCTTCTCGAGAAGGGGGCCGATGTCACGGTTGCGAACAATAATGGAGTGACACCACTCAACTCAGCCTCAGACAGTGGCCATGTCGATGTAGTCAAGTTGCTTCTTGAGAAGGGGGCCGACGTCACGGTTGCAGACAACGACGGATGGACACCACTCAACTCAGCCTCAGACAGTGGCCATGTCGATGTGGTCAAGTCGCTTCTCGAGAAGGGGGCCGACGTCACGGTTGCGAGTAATGCTGGATGGACACCGCTCAACTCAGCCTCAGACAGTGGCCATGTCGATGTGGTCAAGTTGCTTCTTGAGAAGGGGGCCGATGTCACGGTTGCGAACAATCACGGGTGGACACCACTCAACTCAGCCTCAGGTAGTGGCCATGTCGATGTGGTCAAGTTGCTTCTTGAGAAGGGGGCCGACGTCACGGTTGCAGACAACGACGGATGGACACCGCTCAACTCATCCTCAGACAGTGGCCATGTCGATGTGGTCAAGTCGCTTCTTGAGAAGGGGGCCGATGTCACGGTTGCGAACAATAATGGAGTGACACCACTCAACTTGGCCTCAGATAGCGGCCATGTCGATGTAGTCAAGTCGCTTCTTGAGAAGGGGGCCGACGACTCAATTGCAAATTATTACAACGTCACACCCCTGTCAGCAGCAGCTAGGAAGGGTCACGCAAATGTTGTCGCATTTTCTATTGACAATACAAGGTATTGAGACAGACGGTCAAGACTCTTTCGGGAGGACATCCCTCTGGTGGGCCAGACGACGAGGTCACTCTGAAATTGTCCAGGTTTTAGACGATCGTGAGGCTCGAGACGCGAGACAGGCAGACGAGTATGAAATGACTGTAGAGGCGGACTCCGCGTTTCGTGATTCGTCTTCCATTTGGTGCGACATCTGCACGTTCGGCATCTGGGAAAATAGCACCTGCTATCAATGCACGAACTGCTCTGGTGGAAACTTCCATAATTGTAGAGATTGTTATGATATGGGTGGGCGTTGTCCGAATATTTCACACGAGTTAGTTGCAAGCGGTCCATGAGGGGAGACTGAAATTTGTAACGCCAGCAGACACCTTTGGTTTTCCTGAACCGTTCGGCGCTAGATAAAGTCAACCCGTCTGTATCTCGATCCCAACCTACACACCCGAAACACTGGAGTAGATGACCTGGAAACGCATCTTGCAAACTGGCTCCAGCTAGTTATCGATTATGTTGCACGTCGAACGGGGAGATTGGCCGACAAGTTGCCCGCCTTTAATCGCATTGAGCCATAGCGGTGAGCATGGGCTAGAGAGTACCATGTAGGGTTGTTGACATAACCAATAGTGCTCTCTACCCGACACTAATACCATCATGTTCGTGGGCTAAGGTACGATCACCAGTCACCTGGCCTGATGATAACGATCTCGACTGAAATGATTCTACCCTGGAAGTTGCTAGCTTTGTCGATGGGAGGCATTTCGTTGCAAAGGAAGTCGTCTTGGAGGCATCCGAGAAAATACACCCTCTGTTCGTGCATAACTCGAATCTTCTGTTGGCTGATACTGACTTTGTCCTTACAAGCCGTCGCCTACGTCGAGCGATGCCAACTTATACAACAGGACGCTCGGGGAGGACCGCACCCAGCTACAACCTTTAACCCCGCGATGGACCTCAGGCCGTGGTTAAGCTGCAATCCGCTGGTACGCGCCTTCGTCCTCAGCTGAGGGAATCTAGGAGGGGGTGGTCAACTTATAGCAGGGCGGTAGAGGTTTGGCTAAGAGGGATCAGAATGAATGCAGATAACAACACAACGTTCATAACAGGTACAACTTCAAGAAATTCGCTCTTTTCAGGCCGCGAAGCGCTCCTTATTTCTCATACTTTCACAACCATATTGGCTACATATAGAGTCCCAGAATAGGACCTTGAGCATGCGTAGAGATGTGAACTTCAGTTGCTAACCCAAAAACGAATTTAGTGAAGCGCCTTGAACCACTTGAGACACCAAACACTGACGCCTTAGAGACCCCATCACAAAAGGCGGCCGGTCCAAGTCATGACAACAAGAAGGTCTGAACGCGTCCCGACCTGATGACCAAATTCTCGCTCACGTTCTTTCATGGGCATCGCCAAGGGTTTGAAGTAGCAGCGCCGCCTGCCGTGTTTCATCGTCTGTGCTTATGTCTGTCGGTCCGCCGCCATCCCAAGTGCTCCAGCCCTGAGAGTTCTCCGTATGTGGAGGTACCAGCCCCTGTCCCCTGTACCACGATGCGAGGGACGACCCGTAGAGGATCGAATTGAGCGAGTCTTTAAAGTGTTGGTTGGTGTAAGTCATCTCGTGCCCCGCTGGCGCCTGCACGTGGCATTCCGGAGCCGGAGCTCCTGATCGATCGAGGAAAGGCGAATAAGTCTGCGCCGTCATTGAACCAAGTGGGGAGGATTCGGGTCTGACTGTGTCGCTTGCTTGGTTGTCAGGACAGCCTTCGTTGCCGCGTATTGTTGAGTAATCCCGTTCGTCCCCGGTAAAGGAAATCATGTTTGACGTAAAGGTTTTGCCTTGCTCAGCGAAGGGGAGAGCAGCGACTTCCCTGTAGCAATCAGCAGCCGAATGTCGAAGTTTCGGTGACATAACCACCATAGCCTCTAGAATGAAATGTCTGAGTTTGTCTGGGTGCTTCTTGCAGTCATCCCCGAATCTTTCAAGAATTCTGCTGAGCCAGACATCACTGTCCCGTTTGTCCTCGTCTCTGTATCGTGGAAGACCACAAATCAGCTCGTACGCGACGACGCCGAGGGACCACACGTCGACGACTGCGGAGTAACCAGTTCGCTCGCCTTGGGCGTTTGGCTGGATTTCTGGTGCGACATAAAGAAAGGTGCCGCAAATCGTCGAAAGTTGAGACTGGTCTTTGGACAGACCGAAATCGCCAAGTTTGACGAAGATGTCGCCATCCGATCGGTATTGGACGAGGATATTATCAGGCTTGAGGTCTCTGTGTACTATCGGCGGTTTCCTGGCGTGGAGATACGTCACGGCAGACAAACATTGGCAGAGAATCGTCAAAATCTCGTTGTAGGACAAATCTGCTTGACCGGCTAGCGAGCCGCCCGGCACATACTCAAGGAATAGCTGGGGAGACGGGTTGAAAGACGCGTCAAGTAGAGCAACGATATGCCTCTGCCTTGGTCAGCTATCGCCGGTCAGTGACAGGTCAAGGCACTGACGTGTGAAATTTGTCCCATGATACGTGCTTCCTGCTTCCACTCCTGGCGGACTTGCTGTCGACGTGCGACAACGATAGTAGGCTCTTTGAGTGCGAATTCGCGTCCAGTGCTCACGTTCCAGAGGTGGGTGACTGAGCCAAAAGTCCCCTGTCCTAGCTTCTTCTTGAGATATATTCCCCCTTGGCCAGGTGTGTGCGTCCCAGTCGGCAGCTCGGTTCTAGGACGATTTGGTAAGGCAAGGTCGCCGAGAAGTCTTCAGTGGACGCCGCACCGCGAAGAAAGTGGCTGACACGATCAGCATATTCGGGGGACGTGGTATCATGGTGCGGAACGAAAATGTAAAAAGATACCGTGTGATGCACCGAGATGATGATGTGCTTCTCACTTGGGATTTTGTGACCGCCGACAATCCAGCAAAAATTGCTCCTTTTGCCGTGCCCTTCTTCATCATAGGTGACCTCGGTGCCCATAAGAGACCCCAAGTCCTTCACGATGAGACGGCCTGCGCTGTCGAATGTTAAACAGAAATGGCGACCACTGATTCCGCGGTAGGGTAAAACAACATCACAATCTGGATCTGAGCCGACTACCAGTCCGCGACTGGTTCTTGGAATATCGCTGAATCTCAGCTCGAGCCGTGGCAGGTAGTCGTAAGCCGATGCGTCGGGGTTCGCCGATGGCTCCGTTGACTCTCGCTCATGACGGTCATAGTGGCGCTCTGTGAATTCAATCAACGGAGGCACATAGCGCGAGCTTGCTTTGATGGCTTTGGCAGTCCTCTCTCCAATGTTTGCAAATGGGTACAAGTGCGCGATAATATCCGTTTCATTCATGATGGATGGAGATGACTGCAGTATGAAGGTGCAATAATGCGTTCCTGCAAAGTACAGGAATGACCTTTGGTCTGTCTTATAAGACCATGCATCGAGAGAGGAGTGGTGTACCGCGCGCCTAACACTTCATCGCATTGGTCAGCCGACAAGGGTCGTTGTCCTCACAAGGGTACCAGCAGTGTTGCAGGGAAATGGGGTCTAGCGAAGTACCCCGGTGAGCATGATTTACCCCCGCATTTGTGTAGCTAACTCATTTACGTGACGACCGGAATCTGTAGCGAGCCGCTTCCGCGTCACTTTAATGCGCCTCTCCGTTACTCCAACCTCTCCCTCGTCACCGACAAACGCTGTGTACCGCGAACAAGATGGACCACGGCAGCACGACAGTGGCGGTTACTGCCGATGCTTTGTGCAATATGAATGATGAACAGTTCCGCGATTTTATGGCACGACACTACATCCCCGGTGGAAACTACGAGCTGCCTGTGGACGATTGGGAAACGCTCCCCGTTGCCGACCGGCTTCGTCTCGGTGAGAGACTGAAGTAAGTTGTGGTCAGTTTGGCCACACATCTCTGGGACCACTGCTAACTGACGTAGGACCCAAGAAAAAGCGCTCGCGCGGTGCCCGACGACGTTTTCCCGCTCCCTCGATTTGGACTTGCTCGATGCCCGCCTGCATCAAGCCTTTGCTGGCGGCGTGCCGCCGCGCGATGTACGGTTCGCCGACGATTCCGAATGCCTAAGCCCTGTCCTTGATCCCGAGGCCGAGAAAATAAGATACGAGAGGGAATCACATCAAAGTCTTGTCAGGGCTGGCGGCCGGCCGCTATACGCAATAGATCTGCTTGAAGTTGTTCTTAATGACCCAAGCTCGTTCGTCGACACGCTGCGGCCCTGGTTGAACACCTCTACTGGAAATCGCCCTGAGACTGTATTCCAGAGGCAGCTTTCCAGATGGCAAGACTTCGGCAAATGGCAAAATGACAACCGAGGTCGGCAAGACGATGACGGTGGATTTCTTGCATATATCGAGAAAGAGAAACATTTCGCAAAAACCGAATACACTAAGGAGGCGGGTATGAGGAGGATAGCCGAGATTGAGAAGAACCCAGCGTGCCTCCAAGGCGACTGGGAACTGCACCAGTCGCTGCGCAGACGACAGCGATACTTGTGCAGGGAGCACGGCTGCAAAGGTTTTGAGGACTATGTTGGTGCTGCGAAGCGTCGTCTGTCATCACATGGTTTCTCGCAGCGGTTTGATTTGAATGTTGATCCTGGGAGGCAAGACAAGCTGACAACGTGGATCGAGTACCTCAACTACGAATACTGGTGGCTCGACCAATATCGAAATACTATCGAACGTCTCCAGCCGGCTTACGACAAAGCTTGGCAAGAGCTTGTGGCCTTGGACATACTTAGGCCGCACGAGACGGAGGAATTTTTGCGGACATTGGAGTCGCCGATGGAACGCGGATCGGAGGAGGAAGAGACTCAAAAGAACATCGAGAAAGCCAAGGCACGGGCCCGGGATGTCTTTGCCCTGACCCAAGAACATCCAGACCGAAGAAAAATTCCCAAACAGAGACGAGTCGCGATGCTGCAAACCAGCACGAAAAGCATCATCGACGCAGAGAAACGAGCGCGTGACGTTCGGACTAGGAACGATCACATTACAAGATTCATTCGCGCCACATCGGAGTATGTCGATGCGCGTAAAAATGCCGCCCGACACACCGAACTCGTTCGATGGGTAGAGGACCAAGTGCCGTTAGTCCCTTCCGAGATGACGGCACAAGCGGAACGCCCCGCCAACGGGTCACGTAGTGAGCGAAGCGCGAAGCGGGGTCTTCATACCGACGAGTCACCTTTGGAGGATGAAGTTCGGCAGAAACGACGGAGGCTGGACAAGGAAACAGCGCCGGCTCGTCCAAATAGTGGATCGATTTCTAGTGACAGGCTCACGTCCACGGTCTTAGATCCAAGGCGAGTAGAGACAAGAGGCGAAATATTGGGCTCCCGATGGGAGCAGGCCATGATAGGGCCGTCGTCCCGGGACTCTCAAGCGGTTCTTCGCGATGTCAGGCGCAGCATACGTATCTCACGTCGAACATCTACCGACCGTACGGCGCGGCGGCTCGCAGGACGAACGCAAGAATCGCGTCGCGAGAAACGTTTAATAAGCTGAACCTGGAGTGTGCGCAAAAGCGGCACGGAGCCATGTGGCATTTCAGTCAGCCATGCTGATGGTTCTCAGTAGGCCAATATAGATTTGTTGGAGTCCTCTCAAATGAGAGGTTGGTGATTTGCGCGATATCATCCACGGCGACTTGCATACCGACGGATTAATTGGTGTGACGTCAGTGCAGTTGACTGCGATGATGCCACAATACCCAAAACGCAAGCGGCGGCTCTGTTGGCTTTTGTGTATCCCGCCGTAATCATGCTGACGCTGTGTGTTCGGCGTCGGTAAATATGAGAGCTTTCCTCGCGAGGACAAATAGCAGAGAATATCCTACACGTAGCCGCCGCCAAGCAGCTGGTTGTTGGGACCAGGGACACACCTGCAAGTTATGAACCGAAGTCTCCCCACTCTGTTCGTAGCTCTCGATGCATTCAAAGTTGACCCACCATGCCTTTGAAACAAGCGCCCTCGAACAAGAGCACAGCCCAGCGATGATGGCCACTTTGTCCATTCATGGGTGGTGTCTCAGTGGCAGCTCGGAGAGTCTTAATCTGCTGTTGAGGGTCCTCGGCCTATCCGACCATGGTTCTTCCGCTCCGGCTTCCTCTTGGACCCGACAGGCCCAACCCCCGCGATGCCCAAGTGACTAGCCAATGAACGCAGGTATTCAGTGATCATCAAAATTTCCCGTTTATCCCGATTAAGACATAATCCCTGACAGGAACGGGTTCCGCCGCTGTCGACTCTATTCCTAGGCACGCTTTTACGCGCCAGGCGCGGGTTATGGGCCCGTGCATGTTCAACGATGTTGTCAATGAGGGATCTTCAAGTTCACATCCTAATATCTTCTATTCCGTTTTCTCCTGATAGAAACGAGCAACTAAATGCAACTGTCCCTCGACAACAGTTATTCTGGACAATAATAAGTACGAGAGGCATTGGCTTCGGAATACACCTCAGAATCCCACAAATGCGTAAAAGGATTGAAAGGCCGGGAATTTAAATAAGCGACGTAATGAATTCGACTATTTCTCAGTTAAAACAGCTCGGTAAAGGGCAATAGTTCACTTACATAACATACGCTGGGAATGCCATCATCAGAGGATTGTGATAGTCTTGATTGTAACCTGGCTCCAAACGCATGCGTCGGGAATGCTTCATAACTTGAAGCATCGAGTCACCAAAACCATCCACGAGATCGAGGGGCACACAATAGCATTCCTGTAAACCATTGTAGACCAATCCGCTTGGGTCAAATCGTTGAAATACCACCCAATGGATCATTGTACATCCAGACTTAAATTCTAAACGCAGCGCGGCGTCTCCTTCGGAGGCTGCACCGGGTGCCAGGTGACCACTGGTCCGTGGCAAGAGTGCCCTCGAGTGGTCGGTCGTTTGCGGTTCTGGGGTGGGTTGAATTTCCTGATCTGGGCATTTTGGGCCGACTTCGCTTTCGAATTGGTTTGCTTCTACACCAAAAGTCTTGAATTCCGGGTGCAGCGCGGTGTTCCCTTCTGGGGTTGCAACAGATGCAAGGTGATCGTTGGACCGTGGCAAGAGTGTCCTCAGGTGGTCGGTAGCTCGAGGTCTGCCGGTTTTTCTCCGCGGTCTTCGGTAAGAGCATTCAATATTTCGCTCTTGGCAGAATTTGCATGGCAATCCCATGCTGCATCCTATTTTAGACCTATGACATTGATCGCACACCTGAGAAGAATGAGTAAGCTTCTGTTGCTAATGCAACTCAAGTACTTATGTCGGATTGGAAGTCCAATTCGACCTCGAGGCAAGGGGCCCGCGCAGGGGCCACTTACAGACCATACTTACGAGATCTACGGTCTACCCAACCTCCGGTTAGAACCTCCTTTTTACACCTTACGCAGAAGTTAAATATATATAGATTTTGACCTCTTCGTCACCCACGGTTCGAACCATCCCTGTGATAGGAATACCAACAACTTACTTTCTTAAGACCGTGAAGTAATATTAGCCCACAAACTAAATCAAAGCATTCTTGGGACCTCGACTCACTTTTTCAATGCATGGTTCGTCCGCAGGGGGATGCTTGGGTCCGCGAGCTTCGGACTTCGACACTTCGAGAGCGAATAAGCAGACTGACTTTCAATAAGCGATCCGGAGGCGGCTACAGCGCAATCGGCCGATGATCAATCCCACTATTGCTATCATGACTCAAAATCACACTCGTCACAATCCTTATATTCACTCGCAACCAGCTGAGGCAACCCACTACTCACTCGCGTTCCGTCATGCTAAGGATGGACCTCGCGATACAGGCATAGACCCCGCTTTGGTACTCTATTCAATACTGGTTGCGACGGTTGCTGTTGCGAGTGCCAAGATGAGAATATGAAGTTCGCATAGATTGAAAGGTATATGTCTCCACAAGGACGGCCGGCTTTTGCGGAAAATAGCCGCTCAACGTGCAGCGAAAAGGGACTCGAGGGAACAATCAGGATCTACACTTCCAAGAGCGCGGCCGTTGTGATGGAGCAGACTTCATAAATTGACGCACACATACTGTGATAATGTGGATCCGGACTCGTATTCCAACGTAAACCTGACATGGTGTCAGAATATAGGTCCGCGAAGAATTTGGCAGATTGCACTAACAGCTCAGCCCAAGTTGGACTGGCTGACTCTCAGAGGTGTCCAAGCCCATACTATCCACCTAAGCATAGCGTGGAGTTGAGTTTAACGTCTGCTAAAATATTCGGAGGTCGCGGGTGGTATCTTAGCCCGATTAATGCTAGTGGCAAGCAAGTCCCTCCCACACCGCCATGGTCTACGACCGAAGGGCACGACAGTCGAGCGCGTCCATATGAGAAGCAACCTCTTCATGCATTATGCGGCTTTCTTTATATATGAACCTGATGTTGCAACCGCGTATACGGCATCTGTAAGGTTTCGTGTGGCAGTCAACGTACATCCTGTGGCAAGTTGACATTGGTGAGCCCTGTGTAGAAATAATCATCATGCAAATGAACGGCTACTAACTGGTAAGAAGGGGTGGAACGTGTGGGGAGATGTTCACGACATTCTTTATCGGGGCAGTGATATTGACCCTCTTCCGTTGGGCCTCTGAGGTACCAAGGGTGCGACCTATCAGGCCCATCAAGGCTCTGCTTTTCTGAGACTGCAGCTGAGAATGAATGTCAACAAATCTTAAGAACAAAAGCTCCATGATAGAGAACCCTTACCAACACGCCCCCCAGGAGGATCAATAGCTCCCGAAATCCCGCAGCCTTGCCCTGACAATTTTCCATCATACTGCCTCGCTTTTGGTACCTGTTGCTGTAGCCTCACGACTTCTTCGCAATAGGACACGATGTCTTCTCGGGAGTCAAAGTCTTTGTCTGGTGGAGGCCAGTGAAAGAGTTGCCGAAAGTTTTCTAGAGAGGGGAAATACGTGCGCATCTCAACGTATCGAGTCGGTAGGGTGGGTTCGAACTTGGGCAACATCGGAAGCGGATCGGTCCAGACGAACAACGCACTGTTAATCAGCAAAAGAGAACCATAGGAAATGCTCAAGTTGCTTACACCTGATAACCACGATATACGTAGTTTGATGCCACAGTGTTTCGCCGAAGTTCACCTGGCTCGGCTTTCGAGAGCAGATCAGAGAGAACTGCCCTCTCAAACTCCAATCGATCAAAGCGACCCGAGGGGTATTCCGGAACGGAGCCTGGATGAGGAATCCAAAGCGGCTTCGGATCAGATAAAGAGCTAAACACCGTTCGTCTTTTAGAGAAAACTGCGTAGTCGACGAGTCGAGTATGTGGGGTTTGAGAACAGTGGTGTGGAGTATCAGTACACTCGTCTCGAGCCGTAGTACGCTCGTTTTTATCCGTCTTATAATCCTCTAGAGCCCTCTTACACTTATGGGGAGTCGGAGTGTTGCACTTGTCCTTGATTCCAATACATGGTATACATGGGCGAAGCCATACTGATCCGTGAACACATGCAAGCTCGGTATGAAAAGTGCCGTCGAAGTTGGTAAATTTCTCGACCGCGTGGTCGAGATGTGAGCCTGTCCTTGGATACTGTTTAGCTGAAGTCTCGGAGGGCTAGTGCATTGACGCGCTTACATTGAGGTAGCAAGACTAAAGTGGGCTTGGTGGACGAAGACGTCAGATTGGTAGAGGTCAGTTTAAGTTCTTCATCATGTCCCGGGCGGGAGGAGTCCATACGTACTCGCAGCCCGTCGATTTAAAAAGCTGCTCATGAGGGAAAGAGCTCGGCAGGTATTTTGGGACGAGGGTACGGGTTGGCTGCTGACGAGTATGTCCAAGTTCTGTGCATTCGTTTTCAGTCCAGCTGCACTGCAATGAAAGGCGTAACTGGAAATAAGGGGGCATGTATTGAGTGGAACCCCCCACACACTGTGCCCTTGCAAGTACATTGCCAGTCCGCGCACCCCAGCTCCGGAGTAGCAATCTCGCCCGATGTGCATGCATCGCCATGGACAGCAGACGCACAGGGGCAAACTTGGTACCCGCCTGTCATTCCGGCCTCTTCTAACTGGACAGCGGCGCTCCTCAAGTGACTATTTGCCCTCGATCCTCACCATCTTCAAGTCTTCTTCACGGTGCAAGCCAATTCTAGTGATCCTTTCTTATATATTGACGTTGACGGCGTTATGAACACTCGCCTTTTGCCTGTACCACAACATGAGCGCTGTCACTTTTTGTCTTTGTCTCCAAAGTGATATGGCCCGGCAGCGGCTTACGGCCCCAAGCATCCTTATACAAGCACCACGCATTCATGTTGCCGGACTTGATCTCCTACGACGACAACAACAAGAACAACAAGAACAACAAGAACAACAAGAACAACAAGAACAACAAGAACAACAAGAACAACAAGAACAACATCTACAAAATCACCTGCCGGGACTTCGCTAAGGACCTAAATTCTGAACGTCTCCGTCTTCCACCCAGAGGAATCCTTGGTCCATTCCTTCAATGGGAAATCATGCTCGTTCTTCTTCATGGGGACCACCATCCGGACATTGTCGGAAGTGACGACCTTCAAGCGGAAATCTGCATGGCATAAGTCAGCTGTTTAGGTGCCAACAACTTTTGGACCTTTCTGCTCACAGGTGTTGTCTGGGATTTTCTTGGCGATCTCAAGAAATGCTTTCAGATCTGGCGTCGGGTTACCATCAACATGGGTGATGAAGTAAGTGGGCTCAAGATTGAATCGGCTCGCAGGTGAGCCTAAGTCATGGAATGTGACATAGACCTCGCTGTGTAGCTCGCTGAGCTTTTGTCTCACAGGAAGGTATGGTCGTTGTAATGTGGCGCCACAGAAGGAAACGGCGTGATCGGTCTCTACATCATCGGTAGTGATTGTATTAGCCTTGATTCGATGTTCTTGGCCGTTGCGGACAACGACAGCGTCAAGAACCTCATGGGAGTACATGACGTTCAGGTCAGTGGTCTCAACCATTATTTTCCCATTTAAAGTGAGAAGAAGGTCTCCTTCCAATAGCGAAGGAGTTTGTCTGCTTCGTTCCAACGTCTGTCGACTGACCATGAAGACGCGCGTCTGGTTAGCTCTCGTAATCTTATCAATCCACTCGTCAGATAAGCCTCTCGGCTTAGCCCTATCCAATGAAATGGAACTGAACTGGACAGGCAACATTCTGAGAGACGGAGTAATGCCTCCTTGAATTTGGGATATGACAGGGAGTAAAGTAGATGTAGCGAGCCCCAAAAGATGGAAGTCATTACTCTGGCTATCTCCCCCCAGATAGGAGAAAAAGAGGGCCCGGATGACCCCATCGTCTGAAACAAGCACACCAGCGCGGTAGTTCGAGTTTAGCTTCGTCTCAATAATGACCTCATCAAAATTGGGTGTCCGGTATCTTGGAATGCCGTCGGCAGTCCGTATTGTCCTAGGTGTCACTGCGGTTACCGCTGTCGAAGTATGCACGAACTGTCGAAGCAGATCGCAACCAATGAAATTGACGGAACAGCCAGGCATAAGTCGCTCCGCGCTTAGAGTAGCACTTTTGACAGGGGCATCAACAAGATCGGGGTCGTACTGGATAATGACGTAGTTCTCCAAGGGGTGAAGGAAGCAAATTTTGCCAGGGATAGTAGTTGAATGGGCGATAGTGACCATCACGTCGCATAGGTCAAATGGCGCACGAGCTCTCGAGGCAATAAGCAGGCCTTTACCAGCGTCAATGACCAGCCCCATAGTCCAACCCCTGAAAAACGGATAACCGTCCAGCCGAATAGGTGTGGTAAATTCCACGTGGACGAGGCTCTGCAGCACGCCAGCAGCAGCCGGGAACTTCGACTCCAGATTCTCGAGCTTGGTGAATTGTGCGGAACCAGAGACGGAGGCGGTTGGAGGGAGAGGATCGGCTAGCTTGACGAAGTCCCATCGTCCGGTCTGATCGTTTCTCACCCCTAGTTTCATTTCGGGGAACCAATGCCTATCGATGCGAATATCTCGGAAGTGGAGAGTGTGCAAGTCGGTAAGATGCTTGTACGAGACAATCACCCGCGATCTATCCGGGATGCCTTCCATCACCTTGCCAAAGGTCTCTAAGTCTGGAACTTCCTTGTTGTCCACGCTGTGGACTATGCAGTTGCTGCCGACTTCGAAGAAGCTCGAAGCTTTGGCAGCATGAGAGATGAAAACTCCTTGGCAGGCGATAGCGTAGGCGTAAGCTTTTTGGTAGGATATGGTATGGAATATGGCACCAGAGACGGATATGAAGCGATCGGGAGTAATCGCATGTAGGTCTCCAACTTCAACGTCAACCTCAATAACCTCGCCTCCTCGTTGAAGCTGTAGACGGATAAGATTATGCACACTCGAGTCGAGGATGTCGTTGAGCTGATCGAACTTGGTAACGATTTCTCCGTTGATCCCCATGATAATGTCGCCCTCCTCAATCTTTTGATCGGCAGGCCCATTTGGCAAGATAGCTTCTGCAACGAGTAAACTGTTCTCGTCTGGACACTTTTGTCGCACGACTGCCTCCCAGGCGTCAGTGAGACCAAGATGCTTGCACTCTTCAAAAGCTTTGAGAAGGAATCGAGATTGTAGATCGCCCCTCGGAACGAATTGACCTCTCTGGAGGTGTTGCAATGCTCGGAGCGGTCGGTCAAGGGGGAGAAAAAAGGCAGTGGATGCACTGCCGGCCTGTTTTACGGCGGCTAGTAGGGCTACCACATAACCATCAATATTGACGACGGGACTGCCAGAGCTACCACCGCTAGCCGATGCATTCGCCTGAAGGTAGCAGGTGTTGAGGTCACTGGAATCACAAGATCGACAGCAACTAGGTGCATTGCGATCGAGGCGGCTGATACAGGCAGACAGAATGCTGACTTTTTCCCCGGCATCGTTGCCGACGACTCGAACTTCAAGGCCCACTGGAGGTCCATTAGCCAGTCTATCCGAGATCACAAGTGCTACGATATGTACACCTACCTGCCGCAAGGTCTGGGCGAAGCTGGAGCCCGCCGAGGTCAGTATGCTTGACCGCCTTGGGATCGAATCGTAAGAAAGCAAAGTCATGTACGGGATCGCGATACACAGGGTACACGTCAACCTCCTCGTGGCTTTCGAATAATACGGATCCCCAGAAAGGACCGGCTCCCACAACGTGTCTGTTCGTCAAGATGAGACTGTTATCGTTAGTGATCCTGATCTACCACCTAGTTGATTTAGGCTATTAGTTACCCTCCCTGAGCGTCCACGACGAATCCTGTTGCCTCGCCGGAACGAGCAGGCTGCCCGTCAAAGGACATAGTGTGACAGAAATGGATGGAGACGACATTTCGAATGACAAGTTCCATGGAGTTCTGCCACAAGTCGCGCGTTGAAAACAAGAGAGAGCTTTCTGTTCCAGTAGGGGCCATTTGAATGCAGGGTAGAAGATGGTGTTCCATTTTAGAAGAAGCGTTGTCAGCGGATTCTGTAGGTTGCTTCGAGAAATAGCCAAAAAGGTAGGGCGTTGATGCAGCTTTATACCTGTTTTGCAAGATCGGAAGCACATTAATCAGGCAGCCTAGTATACAAGCCTGTTGACGCAGACTGTTGACGTTGTCGCAAACAGACTGCTTCAGGCAAGAAAAGTAGTGGTCATGTTGTTGTTGTTGTTGTTGTATTTAACGCCGTGGCGGCCGGGCTAGAGCCCTTACCGCAGACCTCCCGAAGGGTATATGGCGTGGAGGGCCGTGAGCCAAGGCTACCTACTCTACAGTACGTCGTCTCTTTACATCGTCCTCCAAATCATGCCTTGTGGCCACTACGCGTTCTGTCTGTCCCCGGTTCCCGCTGGTGCCCCAGTTTCATTCTTTCCCAAATCGTCCCTTGGAATCGGGAGGTTCTTTGTAGTCCGCACTCACATCTACGTAGGTGTGGATGCTGCTACCGCAGACAGATCTTCTGGAAGAAGTCCGTCACGCGGAGAAAGGCCTCGAAGCCTCGTGGGTCGGTGATTAATCTCTTGAAGTAGGCCTCGAGAGATCCCATAGGGCCTATGGGCTCGGGCATACTGCGAGAGTGGAGGGTCGGCCACCGTTGCCTCCTCGCCAGCGTTAGTCGACAGTAGACCAGGTGGTCCACGTCTTTCGCCTCTCCACAAGAGCACATCATTAGAGCGTCGTCGTGGTTGAAACGTCGGTGATATTGCTCGAAGTCCCCGTGACCCGATCGTGCCGCCAGCAGGTGATGTAACGTAGCCCGCGGCAAGGCCAGTTCAGGAGGGCTGGACAGAGCTGCCTCAAGCCCCAAGTCCGCGTACCGCGGCCTTCGCTCTTTATACCACCATCTCCTGTGCTGGCTTTGTAATTTTTCCCTTGCAAGCCGCTTGATGCCCGCTAGTGTTGCCATTTGACCCATCCGCGCCGGCAGTGTCGTTCCTTCTTTGGCCAGCCGGTCCGCGGCCTCGTTTCCTTCGATGCCCTGGTGTCCCGGGGACCAGTGCGTCCGTATATCAAATATCCTGGCCGCTTCTTGGATTTCGAGGAACGCGTCTTGTGACGAGTCCGGCGCCTTGCCGCGGATGCCTTGTATAACGCTGGTGTTGTCGATACATATGTGGATTGGATGACCGCGATTGGTGAGCAGAGCCCTTCTGAGGCCGGTTCGCGCCCCTTCGACCTCGGCGTCGAACACTTCTGCTAGTCCGAGTCGGCCGCACCCTTGTGCTATGCGTTTGGAGTCTCGGTAGATGACGAAGCCGTACCCCACGGCTCCGTTCGTCGCCCTGGAGCCGTCCGAGAAGACGATCATATGGCTTTCCGGTACTGTCTTTAGCCAGCGCTCGAAAGCTTTCGCAGCCTCTTCTTTGCATTGAACTACTATCTGATCCTGTGAGCTTGGCAGGTACTGTGATTGAAGGAACGCTGGTCTTCCGCATCTTGGCAGAAGTTCAGCCGTCCGTTGTAGTCTCGTCTGTTGCTGTCCCTGCTGGGAGAGCCGCGCGACTAGCGGGTGTCGGCGATCAATCCTCTGTAGTCGGACTGCGGCCCGTAAGCGGACGCCCTCTAAGGCGACTTTGGCTGACGGTAAGCCGGCGTCTCGGAGGAGGCTACTGGTTGGCGTTGTCCTCCAGACAGGCAGAACGGCCCTTGCTGCCGCTGTAATGACGCTGTCGATCTTCTGCACGAGCCCCTTTTGGCCTGTGTTGACGGGTCTTCCTTGGAGAGGCGGATTCGTGTCTGTCTCCGCTTGGCGTCTCGAAGCCGGCTTCGTGATACCTGCGTACCATGTTTCGGCGCCGAAGAGCGCGATCGGCAGTACGCAGGAGACGACGGCTTTTCGCACGGCGGCCGCTGGGAGTCCCCTCTTTGTGTTCGTAAGCTGTCTCAGATGTTGAGCTGCCCTCTTTGCTGCAGCTACTTTTGCGTCGACATGGTGCCGGAAGGACAGTCTCTTGTCGAACCAGACACCCAGCCAGCGTACAGGTTTCGTCGAGGCCTTGACCACCAAATCCCCCGCCCGGACCTCTGGCAGCTCCGCTGGCTGGCCGTGCTTCCTAGTAAAGTGGATGACCTCGCACTTGCTCGGGTCAAAGGAGACCTTGTTCTCCAAGCCCCATCTGAGAATGCCGGCTGCGCTTCGGTTGAGTATTGCGACGTTGCTCTCCAGGGAGGGGCTGATGGCCAGAGTGGCGATGTCGTCCGCGTACCCGAATCGCGCGTTCGGGTCGTCTTCAAGTATCTCTGCGATGTAGAGCAGAAAGGCAATGGGAGATAGTGGTGACCCCTGAGGCAGCCCGCATGACAGCGGGAAGTACTCCGTTGTGCTTTCTTCCAGTCGGACTCTAGCGGTGCGGTTGCAGCAGAAGCTAAAGATCAGTCTGGTCAGGCCATGTGGCCATCCCTGCTGACGCAGTCTAATGACGAGCCGGTTCCGAAGGACGGAGTCGAACGCCCCTTTTACGTCCATAGTCAGAAGTGTCGCCGTGAGTCCTTTTAGGAGGGCCATCTCGATGTCGTGGGTGAGGCAGGTCGTCAGATCGACGGCTGACCTGCCTTGTAGAGCCCCGATCTGTTGCGGACTGATGATGCGCTCGACAATCGCCAGGGACGCCATCCTTCTGGCTATCAGTCGCTCTAGTCCCTTGCCCAGGCACGAGAGGAGCGCGATCGGCCGCCAGGACCCGGGCTTGGAGGCATCCCTGCCGGCCTTCTGGATCATGACCACCTCAGCTCTGCGGAAGGGCAGAGGAAAGTGGCCGGCCCGCATACAGGACTGGAATAGCTGCCTGACCGGTTCCGAGATGACATCCCAGCATGCCTGGAGGAGGCGTGTTGTGATGCCGTCCACACCAGGGGTCGTTGTCTTTGTTAAGGTGGCCGTCTTCACTTCTTCTCCGCTAACATTGTCCTGCCA